AGCAGACGGGGCGGTCTGGCCCTGCGCGCTGAGCCCGAGCAGACGGGTGCGGTCTGGGCCTGCGCACTGAGCCCGAGCAGACGGGGCGGTCTGGGCCTGCGCACTGAGCCCAAGCAGACAGCACAGGCAGGGGAGCTCATTCCAGCTCCCCAGATGAAAGGGCTGAAGCAGCAGGCAGGCAGGGCTGCAATTTGGTGTAATAAGGTGCTTGGGAAACAGCCTGTTTCTCCTCAGGGGAAATTACAGGGTCTTGGCTCTACAGTGGGACTAGCCCAGGACCAACAGCTGGGTGTTGCTGTCAGTTCCACAGACTGTCCTGTCCCTCCCTCTCCTCCTGTCTCCCTCTCTGTTTTTCTGTGTCCTGATCTCTGCATCTCTCTCTTCGTCTGCACATCTCTCTCTCCCCTCTGTCCTCTCAGTCCCTCTGTCCCTCAGGACACACACAGATGGACCTGTGCTGTTCTGAGGGCAGAGGGAGAGGATTAAATACTGCGTGACAGAAAGGCACTGCTCTGGGTTCCATCCTGCCTGCTCTGTGAATGAGCACAAGTTGTTTTTGCAGTAGCTTGGACTCACGAATTTATATATATATTTCCATGCACATTTTTGACATTGTTTTGTGTTTTCATCCTGCGGTTCTCAGCCCAGCTGTGTAAATGGTGGCACAGGGAGGGATCAAGTCTGAGGTCAGGAGTGAAAAATTTGGCAAAACAAGCCTGGCTGTTTTAATATTTGAAATGTAAATGCAGTGGGTGTGTGTCAGTGTTGAATTACAGTGTGTGAAAGTGTTGATGTAAGTGTGAGTGTGTATCAGTGTTGGTGTGTGTGTGAGAGAATGTGTATTTACTGGAACACCAGAGTTTCAGTGAGGCTGCCAGACAGATTGGAGAAAAGTTACAAGCTGTTTTTTAAAAAACACAGTGAGACATTGAAACTTTAACAACCAGAAAATTGTTTAGGAAAACATCAAAGAGAGATGGAGGAGAGAAGGAGTTCTCACACGCTGGTGAAGGAGAGAGATTGCATAGACTGGCCTGCTTGTGGATCAGACAGAATGTCTCAGTGTGTCTTAGTCTCAGTGTCTGCCCATTTGGCTCAGTCTGGCACAGTGTCTTTCAGTGTCTGTCTGTCTTAATGTGTCTCAGAGTGTTTCAAAGTGCCTCAGCGTGTTTCAGAGTGTCTCAGTGTGTCTCAGTCTCTCTCAGAGTGTCTCAGAGTGTCTCAGAGTGTCTCAGTGAGTCTCAGAGTGTCTCAATCTGTCTCAATCTGTCTCAATCTGTCTCAATCTGTCTCAGTCTGTCTCAGTGATTCTCAGTGTCTCAGTCTGTCTCAGTCTGTTTCAGAGTGTCTCAGTGATTCTCAATGATTCTCAGAGTGTCTCAGTCTGTCTCAGTCTGTGTCAGTCTGTCTCAGTGTCTCAGTGTGTCTCAGTGATTCTCAGTGTGTCTCAGAGTGTCTCAGAGTCTCTCAGTCTGTCTCAGTCTGTCTCAGTGATTCTCAGTGTGTCTCAGTGTGTCTCAGTGTGTCTCAGAGTGTCTCAGAGTGTCTCAGTGTGTCTCAGTGTGTCTCAGAGTGTCTCAGAGTGTCTCAGAGTGTCTCAGTGATTCTCAGTGATTCTCAGTGATTCTCAGAGTGTCTCAGAGTGTCTCAGTGTGTCTCAGAGTGTCTCAGAGTGTCTCAGAGTGTCTCAGTGATTCTCAGTGTCTCAGTCTCTCCATCTTTCTTCCAGGACTCCAGAAGTTGCTCCGTGGTGCTGACCTCTCCCAGTCCTGGCCTGTGTGCAGACCATGAGACCTCTGTGGGTCGTGCTGCTGACTTGTGCTCTGCACACAGCTATTTCACAGGAGCCCTCTGAATCTGACGCCTTCACGGTGAGGAGAAAGCTGCTCCCCAGCCTGTTTGTGAAGTACATTTGCCTCTGTTGTTCATTTGTGATTGAAGTGTGAAACTGTTCATTCTTAAACTTTAACACTATTGTTTTCTAAGTTCTTTCTCTCCTCTCTCTCCCCCCTCTCTCCTCTCTTCCTCTCTCTCCTCTCCCTCTGTCGGAGCAGGAATGCACTGATGGGTACCAGTGGGATGCCCAGACTCTGCACTGTAAAGGTAAGCGCAGGCCCCAGTCTGAGCCTCACAGTCTCAGCAGGCTTGTAAAGACTCTGATACCTGGTCCTCCGGGTCACCGCCCTCCTCTTCCTCAGATATAAACGAGTGCGAGACGATCCCGGACGCCTGCAAGGGGGAGATGAAGTGTTTTAATCACTATGGAGGCTATCTGTGCCTCCCTCGCTCAGCCTCAGTCATCGCCAACAACGAGGTCAACGCCGGGGCGGGTGATCCCAGCCAATCACCAGCCAGCCTGCCGGCCGCTGGCCACACCCCCTTCAACCCCTGTTCCCTCGGTTACGAACCCCAGGGAGACACCTGTGCTGGTGAGCTTTGCTCTCTATGTGTGTGTCTGTGTGTGTTTGTACTGTCTGTGTGTGTCTGTGTGTCTCTCTGTACTGTCGGTGTGTTAGAGCATCTTTCTGTGGGTCTGTATTGTCTGTACTGTCTGTGTGTGT